AAATCCACCAGATGCTCTGCTAGAGAAGGAGGGAGCGATCTCCTCCTGTACCAGTCAGATCTGATTTGACGGTACACGTAAAAATAATATCATAAACATTAAAAAAAAATAAATGTAAAAAAAAGAAAGGCTGTGGGGACCAGCGGATCTAACCACGCAGAATGACCACACCCTATGTGTTAGGCAGAGAACAGTGCACACTGAGCCTGAACCCAAAGAGTGGGAAGTAGAGTCCTGGGCCACTCAGGGTCCCTGACAGGGTGTACTCCAGCAGAGTCATTGCTGTCTTGGCAGAAATGTGGCTCTGTAGGCCATCAGCAGTCCCAGGCTCTCTGGTGCTGGGATACCTCAATGCCCCTTTTCAAGTGATCACTGTCCCTTCTCTCTCATCTCACTCACCCCCAGGAACAAGACCCTCACTGCTCTCTTCAATACTGAGTCCCCATGGTTTGAAAAGGAAGGACAAGGACATGCTAGGGAACTGATTCTAACACTGGCGTTATCAGGAGCTGACATACTTGCCATCCTGTTGAGAAGGTCCTGCCAGCTGTCGCTGGAGTGTCCTGCCCTGAGGCACGACGCCTCACAGGCTCAGCGCGGGTGCCTGCATGCTGGTGTGGAGCCAGTCCAGCCCCACCTAGTGGCACAAGTGACAGAGGGCACCCTTGAGTGCAGACTCAGACCCCACAACCTCTCCCTTCATGCTGCCTGCACTGGAGGACCCAGGGCAGACCGCTGGCTCTGCGCCCACCAGCTGTCAACCCCAAGTCTGCTTCTCCAGAGGCAGAGGCAGAGGCAGAGGCAGTGGCAGAGGCAGAGGCAGTATCAATGACTCAGGTGTTGGTAAGCTGAGGACACCACATGCATACACCTGCCCATGGAACAGGTCCTACCAGCCTTCAACATGTGGGTGCACAACATGGAGCAGGGAGGTGACAGTTGGCACCGCATTCTCGTCTCCTGCTGACAGGAGTTAGGCTTCAGCACCCTCGGGCAAGTCTGGGCATCCTGATCAGGGTTCTAGGGGTGCCAGGGTGAATACCAACCAACCTGTCAACAGGGCTCAGGGTTTGACTATCTCAGCATTTCCCAAGCCATGCTGGCCTCTTCCTGTTCCACACCGCTTCCCACTCAGACCAACAGAAGGTCCACACAACTCCCCAGAGAGACCAATGGAGGGTCCACACAGCTCCCCACTCAGACCAATGGAGGAGGGAACACTAGGTCTCCTTTTCCGAATAGAGAACACAATAACATGCTGTTAGAATGATGGAGATAAACATATGTATGTCCTTTCAGGAGCCCAAGTGAGAACAGGGAACAAACTAGGTAGCCAACAAAAGGTTAGAGGTTCAAATCCTCCTCTCACAGGCACCTGGGCAGAAAGGCCTGGAGAGCAATATCTGAACACTCAGCCACTGAAAACCCCCTAAAACATAATTCTACTCTGACACAGGTAGAATCACCATAGGTCAGGGAGGCCACTCACAACACCTGGCTTGAGGGCAGTGATGGCCCACTGATGTGATCCCCACCTTCCATATGAGAGCCCTGGTTCAATTCTGCCCAGTGCTCTTATCAGAGCCCATACTGTCTGTGAAAGCTTGTGTGTTAATGCTGAAGAGGCTTCAGTGTAGCCTCTAAATTGTTAAGATTAGGAAGAAAGGTTTGGATATTGGCTTCTAAATCACTGGCAGCTGAATATGGTAGAAAGCAGCTCTACTCTGATACCTGTAGGGATCCAAAGAGTTGAGCTGACCTCATCGCAGCTGATTTGGTTTGGGATCTTTCATGTGAGGACCAGAAAGTGAACCCCAGTACTATAAGTCCAGCAAGCCAACTTCTCCCTGCACTAGGCCCCGGGAGTGAGATGCCCAGGAGATGCAAAAGTGCCACACCTTTGTACGTTGTGCTTTCTGGGCCCTGGGACTGCAGGGACAAGGCACACCCCTGGATCCATGGCCAACTTGTCACATCTCTGGTCAGCATTGTGGGAACTGGGCATAGACCAACAGGTGGTGATGGGTCCTGACAAGGCAGTGTCTTTCTGAGAGGGTTTCTCTGCCACTGCCAAGCACACCCTTTTCCTGCACCAGAGAGGAGTGACCACTGCTCTCAGGAAGGTGTCTCCATCTCATGCAGGACTGTCCTCACTGTGGTTGGCGTGTCACAGGAAGTGTGGCAATGTGCTGAGGCCCAGGAGAGGGGGTGAAGGAAGATGCTGGTCCCATCTTCTTGTTGATGGCTGTGTTCTTCCCTCTGGTTGTAGGGTGGGGGCTACAGGACAGAACCCATCCTCAGAAAAACAAATTAATGGCTTTGTCCACCTGGGGAGTTCAAGCTTCTGACCCTCCTAAATCTGTATCCCATTCTGGAAGGACAGAGGTCCCAGGAAAGCAGTCTACGTCATCCTTGGGGGCTTGGCCTCTGGAAACAAGACAGTGCTTCCTCAAGTCCCAAGGAAGTGTGTGGGAGACAAGCCCAGGCAGAGAGCAGAGGGAATCGCACTTCTGGGAACAGGATGGAAATCTGTGGAAAGACTGGTCCTGGACACATACAGGACTTGGCTCCCCAAGTAAGTGCAGGTCCTGAGGCTTCCAGCCAGGGTCCCACTGGCCTGACCGCACCCACAGGCACACCAGGCTATACCACAGGCACAATTCTTGGGTAAGGGCTTAAGTGCGAGTGTGCATGTGTGTGCATGAGTTGTTAGTGAGACAGACACACAAGCAACAACAACTCACTGCCATCAAGTCAGAACTGATGTGCTGACAGTGGGTTTTCAAAAGCTGCAAATCCCAAGGGAGAAAACGATTTCTCTTTTCTCCCCCAAGAAGCACCTGCTAGATTTGAACCAACCACTATTGTGTTGGGAGCGCAACTCCCTACCCACTATTGTCACCAAAACTCCAACCAGACACTCCCAAGAGCCTCCAGCAACATCTCTACAGTCTTCTTCCCGTCCAGACCGTGGGCCTCAGGTGTATGTACACAGCCACAAACAAGGTGGGTTACAAGGTGGTGACGCTGAGTCAGCTCCAACACACACAGCAGCCCGTGAACAAGAGGCAGAAACCCGGGCCAGACAGGCACCATCCTCCCGGCCTCTACTGTGCTCGAGCCCTTCTAGCAGGCAGTGTCAACAGAGCGCACTGAGAGGTTTCCTCTCTTTTATAGACCCTCGATTCCTCCAAGCATGATGTCCTCCTCCAAAGAACACATCCGAAGCATGTGACACAAAATCTCTCCATCCTCACTTCTAGGGGGCATTTTAGCAGTAAAACGGAGAGTGGGGGACCCTCTAAATGAAGGAGTCAAATGCATGATAGGCTCCTGTCATCATGATTCAGACCCCCATGAGACCCCTACAACAGGAGTTGCCACCTCCACTGCATCCAGCTCCGGATGACTCTTTTCTCACACCCACCCTCCGTCTGGGCGGTGGGTGTCACTGTCACTCACCCTGCCTAGAGGACAGTAGCCTTTCTCCTTTAGAAGACAAGCAGCACTGCCACCTCCACCATGTCCACACTCGCTGTCCAGTCAATGCCCACCCAAAGTAGCCCTGAAGGACTAAGTACAAGTGCCCTGGAGAGTTTCTGTAACGGTAACAGCCTTCTTCAGAGTGGCTGGTGGGTTCAAACCACTGCCGTTTAGAGTGCTTAACCACTATGCCACCTGGGCTCCTTTAGGCCCAGGGACCACACCTCATTCCTGGGTCTCTCCAAGATCAGCTCATGCTTAGGACACTGTCGTGTGATGTCAAGCTGATCACGACTCACCGTGAGCCTGCAGAACAGAGAGAGGTGCCCCCTCACAGGGCAGACTGCTACGGTCACTGGTGGGTTCACACTGCCAGCTGCTCAGTTAGAAGCTGAGTGTTAACCACACACCAGCAGGCCTCTCCAGTGTGTAAGCAAGGGAGTGCCATGCAGATCCACAGCCTCCTTCCCTCCTCAGAGCCCAGGCACCTTGGCTGAATTGGTTCAAGTGAAAAAGAAAGGAGATTGTGGCTCGCAGGAGGCTTCTCCCAGCCAGGCGTGCCACGAGGAGCGGACCCGCTGGGCAGTGCTGACACTTGGCTCTTAATTGTCACCTGACCATCATCCTATGGCTGTCTCGCTGTTATATGCCACACTCACTCCAAAGGGTGGCAGCTCACTCGCCTACACAAACCATCATGCCTCTGAGGATTCTGGCTAAGGGAAGACATGACCCTTGCCCATTCCTGTCCCACTGCAACCCTTTAGGCAGTCTCAACTAGAAGGCAATACGCCTAGGCAGAGCCCCAGCTCCAGCCACCTGCTTGCCTGGTGGAGCTGGTAAAGGAAGGGTTAAGAGGCTCTGACAAAGGCCCAGCCAACTCATCTCCAGAGACAGAGGGTTCAGGGCCCCACACCAATAGTCACAGCAAGGGATGGGTGGGGGGTGGAGCACAGTCTGGGCTCAGGCCAGCAGAGGAACAGGTACTGGACTCAAAAGCAGCAGAATGGGTAGTGGGTACAAGGCCAGGAGAAGGATGGGGCTGGGCTCTGGATATTCGGCCAGAAGAATGAAAAGCAGCAGATAAACAGTATCCAGGAGGAGAGTTCAGAACCATGGAAGCCAAGATGGTCACAGGGGCAGGCAGGAGGATGAAGCTCAGACCCAGGGTGAATAGGGCCAGGCAGGCCTCCAGATGCAGGGCCAGCAGGATTGGCAGTGGGCAGGGGCTGGCAGGATCAGACCTGGATGCAAGACTAGCAGAGGGGCAGTTACAGACACGGAGGCAATAAGAGAATACATACACTGGGCCACCAAGGGGACAGCCCTGGACACATGGACACCAGGACCGGCCTGACGTATGGTCATAAAAAGGACTAGTCAGAATGCACGGTCATCAGTGGCACTGGCCCTAAAGCACGGCCAACGGGGGACTGGCCTGGCCCAGACGCGAGACCACCGAGGAACTGGCCCGGACTGGACGCACAGCCCACAGGACGCCCGCGCCGCGGCCTTACCGTTGCTGTAGGCGTAAGGTGACTCAGAGGCGCCGTCCTGCAGGCTCTCCAGAATCTCGCCCTTGCCCACGTCGCTGTCGCCCACGAGCAGGAACTTGAGCAGGTAGTCGTAGCTCTTCACCGGGCTGCCCTGCGTCCCCATTCTCCTCTCATCGGCGCGCGGGCCCGGCCCGCATGCTCCGCGGGCGGACGGAGCGAGGAGGGCCCGCGCCCAGCCTTCCCCGGACGGCTGCGACCTGGCGGCAGGAGGCGACGATGAGCAGTGTCCGCTGCGCCACCCGGAACACAATGCGGCGCGCGCACTCGCCGCCGCCACCCCGACCCCGCCACCGCACCTCGGCCGCTGCCGCCGCCGCCGCCCCTCCACTTCCAGCAGGCGCCGCGCAGCCCGCGCCCCGCCCCCGGCCGCGCCGCCGCCATTGGCCTGCGGCCTCCGCCCTCCCACAACCATTGGTCAGCACGCCCGTCTGTCGCATGCGCCCCGCCCCGCCGTTTCCCACACAGCGCTGCGGAGCGATGGACAGCCCGCCTCCTCGCCTCCGCCATTTGCCGTTCGCCTCCGTCCTCCTGGGACTATTAGTCGTGAAGCACGTTCGTCATGGGCGTACCGCCCCTACCATTTCCCACACAGCGCTGCGAAGCCTCTGGCCGTCCCGCCCATCACCAGCTAGCCCGCCTCCTTGCCGGAGTCATTGGCCAGGCACTGCCTGTATTAACGCGACTATTAGCAATCATGCATGTCCGTCACGGACTCCCCGCCCCCCTCTCCCCCCCCACGCCGTAGCCCCAATAGCTACCACCTCCCACCTTCGCAGAATTATTGGTCCTTGTGCACGTCCATCAGAAACACTACTGTCCATTTTCCTTCTTGCAGAGCATCCCAAGTGCCCGCAACACTCCCGCCCTCGCCGGCCTCCTCACTCTCACCATTGGCTTATCTGGACGTTCGTCATGATCCCTACTCGCCTGTGCTTGCCCTCTTGCCCCGCCCCCTTTCTTCTCACGCTCACCAATCAGGAGCTTTACATGCTGAGCTTGTTTGCATTCCCATCCTTTCTCCCATTGACCGGGAGTGGAAGGGTGGTGGTGGTGGTCCTTGCAGGGAAACAACGCTGCAGGGCCCAGGAAAATTGGCTCCCGAGCAAGTTGCGACTGGCTTCTGTGGGAGAGTTACCGAACGCGGGGCGTGGCCCTCCCTGCATCGAAGTCCTCCAGCAGCAGCGCCCTTCCCTTTGGGAGCTTTTCGTGGCGTGGTTGGGTTGAGAGCGACCAATCGGCGCTTGGAGACGCTAGGCGGGACTTCTATTCTCTGGGATGCGGGGCGTTGGAGGGGAGGTAATGAAGAGATCTGGGAACCACCGGGACGATGATGGAGCTAGGAAATAGTAGAGGACACGAGGTGACGGCGAGGTCAGAGGACATGGATGCTCAGGCCAGACGGCGTGACCGGAGGTCAGTGGGGACAGCAGCCAGGCCAGGACACAGTGGTGCCACGAGACAGTGAGGCCGGACGGCGAGATTGGGTTATAGTGAGGATAGTTTGAGGCTTGGGGCCAGGAGAAAATGAAGACAGGAGACTTTGGAATTAGGGTACAGAAGAACTCGATCGTGGGCCATAGGACCAAGGGACAGTGAGACCAAACAGTGGGGAAGGGAGACAATAAGCCCCACAGGAGACAGTGAACAGTGAGGGGTGAGGTCTGGGGCCTGACAGCGCTTCTGTCCATCTACCAACCTGTAACCTGGTGGGTACTGGTCAGGCTTGGGCGTGCTCATTTTGGTGGGGAGTGGAAGGTTCCCATTCTCCATGGAGCCTGACCCTCCCACTGTGGTCAGCCATTAGCTGCTGTCCTCACCCCTGGTCACTGACCCCTCAAATTAATGCTCTAGAATCTTGGTGGCCTCACTTGTGGGTGAGTTTTCAGACCCTGGATTCCTTACTAAGCACGAGGCTGTCCCCAGATACCGGAAGATCTGGAAAGGTGGGGAGGGCAAGGCAGTCTAGGACCGGGATGGTCTGGGAAGCTCTGAGGCTCGACTAGGAAGGAACAAGGGTTTCCAAGAAATGGGACAAGGTGTTTGTTGTCTTTAATCAGTAGCCGGTGATCGCGTGAAGAGTTGCATTCAGATCTGAAAATGCAAAGTAACACCTCTTGTCACCATGACAGGAAAGTGTGGAAGGTGCTCCTGGGGGTATAACATCCTCTGAGTGGGTCCAGTGGTTGTCTCTGCATGGATAATAGTATATGAGAACATGCGCACATGGCATAGGTAATTAAAAATTGTGGGGAAAATAAGCACAATTTTGTTACTCTGGATTCACTCAAGAGGTCTCTACCCAAGAGAAACAAACACAGGTCCATTGCAGAGGCAGAATACGGTCAGATTTTTTACACCACTTGGGAGGTAAGGTGTGAGACTGAACATTCTCTTCACCGCTGCAGTCACACTAGCATCTGTGAGAGCGCCTTTAGGAATTTGAAACCAACTGCTACAGTTGTTTTCCATAGACACCACCTCTGGTGCACACAGAAACCTGCCTACTGGTCATCATAGTGACATTCACAACAGCTAAAAGAGAAATACTTCAAGTGTCCATCATGATGTCGGTAGAGAAATGCCAACTGTTCCTTTCACACTGTGTATTACTAGTCATGAAGAGAAACAACTCAAGTTCTTTCTTTTCAAGATGATGAAGAAACACAATCACATCAAGGTATATTACTCACCTATGAAGGAAAATGGAATCCTAGTACATGCTATGATACAGATGAACCTTGGAAACACAATGCTGAGTGAGATAGGTCTGACACAAATGGACCAGTGCATTTTGAGTTATACCACTTTTATTAAAAATGCCATCTTTATTAAATAATTGAGTTAGGCAGATGTAGAAACGAAAAGCAGCTCAGAGGTTCTCAGGCCCTGGGAAATTGTTGGGGACAGGAGAATAAGGTGGTCTATCTGAGGTGGTAAGTCTTGTAGACAGTGACTGTTGCACAGCATGGTGCATGGGGTTAACACCACTGCCTCATACATTTGGGATGAAAATGCTACATTTCTCTTCAAGTGTCTTTTGTGAAACCTACAGTGCAGCATACTGGACCCCAGAGTCCCTCAACCCCCGGCCCTCCCCAACTTGGAGGCCACAGCAATGGAAGGAAGGCAGGGCAGACTGTCAATGGTCAGAAGTTCTGGGTGAGGAGATGCTCATCAGAACCAGAGGCAACTCATCCATGTCCTCAGTGAGCGCACCTGCCATGAACCCCACAGAAGCTCTATACCAGGCAAGGAATGCCAGGTCTTTCAATCTCAGGGTATCACTGGGACTGTCCCACTGTGCCATCAGGATGATGGTCTTGGAGACAAGGCAAAACTTGGAAACACAGCTAAATGGCTCTGCAACAAAGCTTTATTATCATAGTGGTGGTTACTGTCCCCACGCTGTGAGTGGTGATGAAGATGGGCCAGAGCCAAGTGTCACCTGCTTCCTGCCTGCAGCCAAGTGGTCTCCTGGGGAAGGTGCCGGAACTGCAGCCCACTCCACTCAGAACCATCACCCCACACAGCTCTGGTTTAATTGTACCAGCTAGACTGGCAGGTCAGGTCACAAGGTTTCCCACCACGACATGCAGATCCGGCTTTTTGTGTGATGGGTGAGGCACAGGATGGGGGCCATCCCAGGGTGGTGTCCCACAACAGCACAGGGGCTAGAGTGTCTGCAGAACACCCCTCTGCAGGACACATCTAGAAAAACATGTTGCCAGCTGGTGGGAGGTTGGGGTTGCTCTAAAGCTAACCCCACACAGAGGCCCTGGAGGAAACACTAGGACTCATTCCTTCTGTGGGGAGGAACATACCCTAAATACCTCTGTCCCCGGGACAGGCCCAGTAACCAGCCAGCATACCCACAAAGTGGCCCAGAGGCCTGAGGGTTAAGGGCTGGTGTAGGACATGAAGTGGCTGGGGTAGCAAGTGGGAGAGCCCAGGGTATGTTCTGAGGACTGAGTGTCAGCTGACAGCATGACACCAGGCAGGACTGAGAGGTGGGCCAAGGCAGATGGTGGTAGTGACAGAGCCTGGCCAGGAGGGCTCACCCTGCTTGCATACCCAGGACCCCTATGCCTAGGGGAAACAGGGCAGCGGCTGGTCTGGCACCTGCAAGACATTTGCTGCCCACCATCCATGCTGCACTGGGCACAGCAGGCAGCACACTAGTGAAGGTACTGGCTGAGCCTTCAGTCCTGCTTGTCCCCTTTCTGCTTCCAGGGGTAGATGAGCTCCCCGAAGAAGAGCTTGCGGCACAGTGAGCTCCAGGAGAGTTTGGGGGGGCAGCCAGAGCTGGGGAGGCGGTAGGTATGCACCACTTGACTGTATGGCAGTGGGTTTATCTGTGGGAACAAGGGCAAAAGGGCCTGTAAGTTCACAGGATGGCTGGGCTCAGGGGTTCTGGGGGAAAGGGTCAGCTGTGTCCCAGATGTAGCTTCCGTGTATGAGCCCAGAGGTGCTTGGGGGGCCACAAAGAAGGGAAAGCACTTCATAGCTGGCTTTCTGCGGATCTAGGCAGAGAAGACTGGGATCCTCACTGCCTCCACTGGATCTTCCCCAGGATGGGTGAGCACCTGGGAGGGGCGTGTCAGGGTGGCCCTAGTGCTGCTTAAACCCTGTCTGCGTAGTCCCAGGCTGGCTCAGAAGGGAGCATGCCCAGGATATACCCCTTGAGCCCAGAGTCCATGCAAGGCCAGCTGACTCAGTACAGGACCCCTCCATACTGAGACCCAAAGCAGTAGAGAAAGGGTAGGGAAGAGGAGGGCAAGATCTCTAGGCTGAGGCCTCAGGAAAGGGCTCCCCAGCAGGCCCTGCTCTCAGCTCCTCAGCCTGTACACACCTAGCTTGGAGATACGGTCCCACACTTGACAGCCCGGTGTGCTATAGAGGCTTAGGTCCTGGCCACGAGAAATGGGTGGGAGCATTACGTTACCTGCATCAGGAGGCGGAGGGGCTTGCCAGCTTCATGCTCCAAGACCCGGAACTTCACACCAGCTAAAATGAGAATGAGGGGCAGTGAGGGGGCAGCACTGCCCTGATGCATAGGGTACTTCCATCAGCCTCACTGGCATGGGCAAAGTCAGTATTCTCATCAACTCGGATGCTTCAGCACCCAGCACACCAAGCTGTCCCTGGAAGGAAGCATGGTGCACAGGACAGAGCTAGTATGGATGGACAGCCTAGCAGGCTCTTAGTTAGGGAGGCCCCCAGGCCTCTCCCAGGAGAGAGGTGTTGAAACCCCAGCCCTGCTATATTCCCTGCAGCATGAACCCACCTGCAAGCCGGTAGGGCCGGCAGAGGCGCAGGCCAATTGAGTAGAGTGGCAGTGAGTTGACCAGGTCCACAAGTAGGTGAAGGAGGCCTTGCACAGTTACCACCAGGAGCCGGAGCTATGACAGAGCCAGCACTCAAAGCCAGAGCTGGACCATGCCCATCAATCCCTGAGGCCATCCCCAGGGAATTACCTACCCCAGTGACCCCCAGCCTTCCAGGGCACAGTGAACTGTGTAGGGACCTTGGCAGGGCTTACCAGGGTGAACACGAGGTAGTAGAGCGCCGTGGTGGGCAGGAGGAATACCAGCATGGTGAAGAGCAGGGTCCCAATGAAGAGCTAAGGGAAGGCAGGTGTGAGCACTGGCTCCCCACCTGGACTGGGGGCTCCCTGTCCAAGGCAGGGGAGAGCTCTATCCTGTGCTGGGGGATGATCACCCTGTCCTAAGCTGGGCGGACACCCTGTCCTGGGCTAAGGTGCTCCCCTTCTTGGGGGTAGGTCCTGAGTGTTCACTGAGCGGCTGTGAGAGCAGCGTCCTGCACTAGAGTCACATTTCCAGTCAAAACCTATGGTTGGTTGAGCAGCAGTGTGGAAGGGCAGCAAGCTACCACGTGCAGGCCTACACCAAGAAAAGGCTGTTGTGAATTAGGACAAGGAGTCCTAATTAGGACAAAGGGTGGCACTCACTGAATTTGGGCTGAGCAAGGCTTTGCATGGTGTCACCTGCAGACGCCACTTACTTTGCAGGTGGTGGCTGTCAGAGCTGTCGTAGGGTTCCTGGCAGCTAACCCAAGCAAGCAACTGTACCAAGCATCTGAGCCTAGGTGAGCCCCTCCACAGTCTCACAAGGACTATCACCCTTAAGGTCACACACACATGCACAAGGAAGGTCATCCCAAGTTGACTCCCTGAGGTCACACACATGCCCTGCGGCTGGCACCTGGTCTAGGTCATAGGAGCAGGAATCCACACGCTGCCTCAGCACATTCCACTTTTTCCCCCGGAACAGGCGCCAGAGGGAGGACAGGCCATAGATCTTCAAGCAGTACAGCCTATGAGCCAGGTGGGGGTGGGTGGGATATGGGGACCAAGGAGGAGGACAGGTCTTAGATCTTCAGGATGACAGCCCATAGGCCAGGTGAGGGATTGGGCAGGGCATGCGGGACTACCCACCTAGCGCCATAGACATAGAAGCAGTAGATGTGGAAGGTGAGCAGAGCGATGATATCTGACAGGAGGGACAGGGCAACCGTGAGGCCCAGGCAGGCAGAGAGGCCCACGTGCCACAGGATCCGCTCGATGAAGGGTGACATGAGGTGGATATAGCCTGTGGCCAGGGCATGAGTGTTAAGCAGGCCCCCAGGGGCCTGCCTCATCCTCTCTAGGATGGACACAGAGAAAGCACAACCCAGACCATCCCACTGGCCCACAGGGGGAACAGCCCATTCCCTAATGACCCACAGGTGAACGTGGTAGTGGACACTCACTGATCCACAGGTGGATGTGGTAGAGGAAGAAACGGCCCAGCACCTGGTCCAGTGCCCGGTTCATCTTTAGCCCGGCGGGGGCTCCCATCAGCCACTGCAGCAAATGCTGCAACTCCTCAGCCACACGCTGCAGCCAGAGGACATGAGTACTGGCCAGGTTGGCACTGCTCCTCGCTGCCCTGGAACCCAGTCCACCCTGATCCCCCTGTGATCAAAGAGTCCCTTGTACAAAGCAGGGAGTCCAGAACTCAGAGGGCAGATGGTCAGAAGGGCTTACTAGACCCAGTTAAACCAGGAAACCACCACTAGGACCACTGTACTCCTGGCCTGCTGGGCATGCTGCCCAAGCCCACGCTTCCCTCTTCTCCCTGCCTCAGACTACTGGACTCAGGAAGACTAATGCATGAGGTCTGGATAGGTCCTCTGTCAGTCAGCATTACAGAGCCCTCAGGGGTCAGCTCTCCTGTCAGCACCAGGAAGGACCTTTTGTGAGCAGTGGGGAGGGGGGGGCTAAGGAATGGAGTAAGTGCCCCCACCAGCCTTGTGCATCCCTTCCACCACTGGACATCCAGTCTGCACCAAAGCCTCATAGCACATCAGACTTGGTGCTGGCAGCCAGGAAGGGGTAGAGCATGCTTTATAAATAGAGCTTGTTTAATATTTCAAGGGTAAGGGCTGGCAGTAGGAAGAGGCTTTCGTTTTAAAATGAAATATTGATGTTTCTGAGCACTTTTGCAAGATGCAGAGCTAACCGAAAGACACGGGCGAGTGTGGGCCCAGCAGGCCCCTCCCAGCCCTCATTGTTCCTAAGTGACCCCAGAGCTCTGTGGAGGTTCATGGCCCATGGAGGGCTGCCTCCCACTATAGGCCCAGGGCATGTGGCAGCTTGGATATGGCCAGAGGACAGCTGCAGGCCAGTGCGCTACCCTGCACAGAAAGACACACAATCAACAGGGGTGAGGGTCTTCTAGCTCCAAGGGAGGACAGCCAGGTGGACACAGGAGGCCTGGGTCACTGTGAAGGGCAATCAGTAAGGGTAAGGACCAGTGTGGCAAAAGGCTGAGGAAGAGGGAGCAGGCAGGAGCCTGGACATACAGACTCTGTGGTGCTGACCCCATCAAGGCCAAGCCAGAGCAGGAGGGCAGACTGGGGCCCCTCCACGGTTCAAATGGGTCAGCAGTGTACTCATCTGAACCTGCTGAGGTTTGGGGTCTGGATTAAGCAAGGCCGGTACCCACCCCAGCAAGGCATAGTTGACCTGGGAGAGACTTCTGCACTCCCTCAGGAGAGAACTGACCCACAAAGACCACTGCCCCACTCACATCAGCCACAGGGACAAGGGCATTAGCCAGTTGCCCAATGCGGTCCTCCCCATGGAGCCAAGTCAGCAGAGCCAGGCCCAGGCCCACGTCCAGTAGCACGGACACGAACACGTTGGCCTTCCTGGGGGAAGAGGGGTGGTCAGAGCAGCTGGGTGGTTGGATAGTCCCCAGCTCTCACCCACAGTGGCCCACACCTCATCAGTTGTGCAGGGTTTTCAGCCTTCTGGGTGCTGAAGACCAGGGAAAGATGCCCCAACCGGTGACGGACTTGCTCACAGGTGGACAACTTGCTACAGATGAAAGGCAGAGGCCACAGCCAAAACAACCTGCAGGTGAGAGGGGTTGACCTCTGATACCCTGCTGCTACAGGGGAACCAGTCACTCAGGGGTGGACACCCCTTACTCTGAGCACAGGGGAAGGGCTGGCCTTGCTCAGTCCACACCACTTCAAACCAGAGGGCCTGTGCAGCAAGGGCAGGAGGGCACCCCATAAACTACTGGTCAGGGGCACTTCCACCTGACAGTGCCTAGAAGGAATGGTGGGCCCCCTAAGAAGTGGTATCTCGCAGGAAGCACATGGCCATATGGCATCTAGGTGATAAATTGAGACAATGGTCTCAAATGACTGTTCTCAGAGCCTCTCTGTAAATTCGGAGTCTGGCTACAGGCAGGAAGTCAAGAGCTCAGAGCACAGAAACATCAAGTCAACGCACTAGAAGCTCGGGAAGGGGTCTCAACCTTGGTGCAGTGGCTTTAAACCAACTTCAGGGAGGAAATACCTTGCAGCAATTCACCCCCTAGATCTAAGCAGGAGTGAGTGACTGCCATAGCAGTGAAGCCAGGACAACCCACTGAGTCACAGCCTGTGCACATCAGGGTCCCAACCTTCTATGTGTCCCCAGAACAGATGACAGAGGCCAAGAACTCTCTCTGCAAAAGATCTCTGCATCGACACCCTCTCCATGCACAGCCCCGACTCTCTCCTATCAGGCACCCCAGCAGCTGAGTTCTGTCTCTAAGACATGATACACAGGCCAACCAGGCAAGCACTTCAGGGAGCAAGGCCAGGCCCTGGAGTGTCCTTTGTTCATCAGGCTGACTCCCAATGGTGGGCCACCACCAAGGGAGAGGACTGCAGCCCCAGAACCTCTATCTGACAAGCAGCCAATATTAGGGCCATGTTTTATCCAGTGAAGAATGGTGACTGGGTGGCCTCCGGTGCCCAGGCAGACAGTGTCTGCTTCCTTCAGGGCCTGAACCCCAGGAACTCCAGCCCCATGCCCCTGTCCTGGGTCCACCTCCTCCCAACATGTTCCCTCTCTTGCCCCTCCAAGCACCACCTCTGCCCTTGACGGATTCTGGCACCCACCGGCAGGCCCCAATGGCAGAGAGGACGGACAACAGGAAGCTGAGCAGCAGGCAGGTGGGCCCGGAGGCCTGCTTGGCCAGCTCCACCAAGATACTGGCCTCCACGCCCTCTGATTGCCAGTGGCTCAGCCGTACGGGCCCCTCGTCGAACCTGTCACTGCGGAAAAGTGCCTCACTGCGGGCCACTGTGTCGAAGACTGCGGCCAGCCCCCCAGTGCTGGCCGGGGCATCCCCAGCCTGGCGGTCAGGTAGGGCTGCAGGGGGGTGCAACTGGGACAGCAGCACCTGCCGCTGGTCATAGAAGATGAGGGTGACCTGGTGCTCTCCAGGGGCACCAGGGAGCACTGGACGCTGGACTGCCTTGCTGCTCCAGACTGCCCCACCTCGCTCTCGGCACAGCTGCAGCCATGGCTCATGGGAGAAGATGGCACTCAGTTCTTCCAGGAAGCGGCCCAGGCTCTCCTCGGGCTCCTGCTGGTGGTGGCACCAGGTGCCCAGCACAGTCACACCCACCCGGCTGGCCTGCTGCACCTGGGCCAGGAACTCCTTGACCTGGATGGGGATGAAGGGGAAGTGCACCACCGCCAGGACCACTGCACTGCTCTGCTCTGGGACCCAGCGCCCGACCAGCAGCCCACTGTCCGCTGAGGTGCAGCATGTGGGGAAGAAGGCCTTGAGCATCATGCCGAGAGTCCTGTAAAAGAGGGGGCTCCTCGCACTGCTGCCATCACCATTCTGGCAAGGGGAGGGATAGGGCAGCAGGGTGGCTGGAGGCTAGACCCAGACAGGTGAGCCAGCCCAGAAGGAAGCAATGCACACAGCAAAGGGCTCTCACAGAGAACTGCCTGCCTGATGCAGACAGGCCATAGATACTCTGAGGGCTGCAAGGTGCTGCCCCACCTGCACCTCCTCGTCAGTGTGTGACTGCACCCCTTTCAGTTCCCCCCTGTATAGCTACAACCCTACCTGAATGCGTATCTGTACCTACTCTGCAGTCTACAACTACACTCAATCTTCAGTCCCTAGCTGTACCTGGCTCTCAGCTGGGCCCAAACACACATTTCCACCTATACCCCTGGCTGCCTAGGGCACTTGGCCAGGTGCCCTCTTCTCAGGATGGGTCACAGTGGCAGGGAGTGGGCCATGGGACTCCATCATCAACACTTAATAAAGCTGTTTGGGGGAAGAAAAAGTGACTTTCATTTTCAACTTCTAAGAACTCATTCTTCACGTGGTGTAAAGAAAAGGGCCTTCAGCAACAAAAGAAGTGAAAAAAAAAAAACAAACAAACAAACAAAAGAAGTGCAAATAAAAGCGCTAAGGATCCAGGGCCTCCACCCAGGAAGCAAGCTGACCCTCCCCCTACCTCTCCACATGGGAGCTTCCTGCCCAGTGCTGACCACCAACCCAGTCCACCTGGCCTGGGGCAGCACTCACTCTTCTTCAGGTACTAATCTATGTGCTCTCTAGGCCTTTTCTAGAGCTCTCAAAAATAGGCTGAGCAATTCTAGGGGGTCCCTGAGGCATAGAAGCTGCCTCCCAGCAGCCATCATAAAGCATGAATTCTGAAGGACCCGTGGTTTCTGAATCTGCCCTTCTACCCTGGAAACAGATCAAGGCCTTAGAGGGAGTGAGCCTCTGAGGCCAACTTAGGAGGGCTCTATCAGCTATGGGTTACACCTGAAATAGGTCCCTGTCGGGGAAGCTGCTCCAGGGACTGGAGAGAGGACAGAGAATGGGTGGAGGCCAGCAGCTGAGTCTTTCACCCTGTGAGACCATCATCTCTCAAGGCCTGCTCGCCTACGTGTCCAATGAGAGCCTAACACAGCACATTCTGCCTGCATGGGGGTCTGCACATTCACCTCCTGGGACCTTTGGAAAACTCCCTCTGGCTATAGCTGAAAATAGCCTCTAACACTCTAGGAGGTAGGGTCTGTGGTGTGACCACTTTGTGAAAACTCAGTCTTCCACACCAGATTTGTGATATGTACACTTTCTCTGTGGGCATAACACATCTTCTAAAAAATTTATCAATTTTACCAATGTAAAATTTCAGTCAACCATATAAGGTCAAAAGGGCAGCATTGGCATAAGGATAAAGCCTTGAAGACAGGCAGAGAGAAAACTGAAGGATGAGTGGAAACCAAAGATGGAGAAGAGGGTAGTTACACTGTCAACCCATTGTCAGGGTCCCTCATACCTGACCCTCCAGCAAGTTTTCAGAGGCTGTAAATCACACAGGAGACTGGCCATTAGTCTCCTTAGGGGAAGTTGGTGGATTTGAACTGCCTGCTTTGGGGTTGGCAGTGTAATTCTTTAACTACTTGGCCACCAGAACTCCCTATGGGTGTTGTAATTAATGTCAGAAAGTAAAACGTGTCTGAGTGGTTAGATAGAAAGAAAACAAAACAAAACAAAACACCAAAACAAACCATTTTGTTCTGTAAACTTTAACTCAAAACACCATAAAAGAGAAAAAATTGTAAAAAAAATAATAAAGTTCTTTGCATCTAAGGATAGAGGCGCTTGGAGAGAAAAAGCTGTATAGTATTGGAGAAAACACATTACAGGACAAACTCCTTTCTCCACCCCAACTCAGCCTCTGGGAGTGGCTGGAGCACAAAAGGAGAGTCAGGATCAGACAGAAAAGAGATGAAAGCACAGGCAAATCGATAGCAAGGCGGGACCGGGTGGGAGAGGCGGATAGAGCCTGGGAAGGTGAGCAGAGAGAAAGCTGTGATGCAAGATGCGGTCACCCGCGGGGGTGAGCCGCCCCTCCCCACTGTCTACCAAGCTAACACACTACGGAGAAAGCCTAGTTCGGTCGTCACGAACCCCTGATATTAAACTCTCGGTCCACTGCTGAAGATCCCCGTCTTGGGTGTTCTCCAAACCTCTTTTCTTTCCCTCCGTCCCCTGTCTTATTACGGAAGAGGACTCGCACTCCAAAGCCTTTTCTAAGAATTGCCCGGCAGCAGGAGGGCCAGGCTCCCCGCCAACAGCGCCTGCTCCTTAGTCCTCTCGTGGAGGGGCGGCGGACAGCGGGCCCCGATCTTATGGAGGAAGGAAAGGAAAGTCAAACGGCCAGCTTCGTTCCCTTCCCACCCCGGGGCCGCGATGTCCGGGGGCTCGCTGGCCGCCAAGGTCATATCGCGGGGTCCGCCCACCTCTTCGGCTCACCAGCTGCTCCCCGGGGCTGCGCCCTCGGGTGGCGGCGTCGTCACGCGGTTAGGAACTGTACTAGGCGGGCCCGGACGGACGGCGCGGTTCGAAGGCTCCAGCCCTGCCGCAGCCGTGCCGCGGGACACGAGACCCATTTCCGCCTACTCAGCTGTTGCCAAGCGACGGTCCGGCCCCCAAAGGTTCCCGGGCTGCCCGCGGGCCGCGCGCAAGTGTTCCGCACGTGTAAGATTCTTGCTGGACCCTGGAATGATGAGCTCGACTTTCTTTGCATACCTCAGCTTCCCTACCCCAGGCAGCCACCTAACTCCCTGGACGCTGCTCCTGCTTCTCTTGCAGGGATCAAATATAATGAACAGAAGAGAGAACCACTAGAAAGTTGGGTCCTTAGGGAGCTCTGGTGGCCTAGTGGCAAGAAGCTGTACTGCAATCCCAGAGGTAAATAGTTCAAGTCCACCAGATGCTTTGCTGTAGGAGGGGCAATCTTCTCCTGTACCAGTCAGATCTGACTTGACGGTACACACGTACAAAATAAAAAAAAATCAAAAAGTTGGGCCCTCTTCATCTATCTTTCAGAGAGGAAAAAAAAAGTGAGGTTTGAAGTGAGTCTGGCTTGACGGTTCTCCAGCCCTGGAACCCTCAGGATTCCGATCTTCATCCCCAGGCTGGCTCCCTCTCTCACTGCCTCCTGCAGAGGCCTATCCAAGTTCTCACAGGGCAGGGCTCATGGATAGGACATTGGATCCTAATTGTCAAAAGTGGCCCCTGCAGATCTAACAGGATCCCAGTAACAACAGCAACAACCAATGTTTATTGAATCCAACTACATAGGTATTCTCCTGGCTAGGACATATTGGGGATCCCCAGTGTTCCCCCAAAACATTCTACACTGATCCTCCACAAAGACCCTCCCTGAACCAGGAGCTGGCTGGGCCATTGGCTCGCCCCACCCCTGAGGCCTCATTTCCCTGTGTATAAGTGCACTACCACTGAGTGGACCCTGCAGGACAGAGTAAAACTGATCCCATTGGGTTTTTCAGGCTGAAAATCTTTACCAGAATAGACTGCCTCATCTTTCTCCCATGAAATGGCTGACGTGTTCAAACCTTCAAACTTCTGGTTTGCAGTCCAATGCCTTAATCACAGCACAGAAGTCGTCTCTCTGTCTCTCATGCTTCTTTCAAGCAGTAGGAGTATGTCTTCATCAGCCAATCTCATTCACTCCCCCATCCCTCATGAGAAAGTGACCTGGGGCACCAGCCAAATCCAACCACCTCCCTGCTGCCACAACCCCCCCATCCCCCACCCGCCGCCCCTTACCTACTCAGGACTCAAAAAAGCTCCTGGAAGCTCGGCCTGCACCCTGAGTGCCTCTGAGGCTGAGGGAACCCTGGGGAGCCACTCCTCAGTTTAAAATTGCTCAGCTCTCCCAGCCACACCCTTTCCGCCTGCAACAGTCTGATTAGGGCCTGCCTGCATGAGGCTCAACACCCAGCCCCAGAACACTGGATCTCATGAGGGCAAAGTTGAGGGTAACAGGGTCCCAGGTTGCAGACAGTGCCAGTTTGCAACTGAGGGTGAAGTTCAAGTTCCTGGGAAAGGGGTGCGCCTGAGGTGCTTTCTTCAGTGAGTTGGGGCTAGGGGCTGATCCTGGTCAAGTCCGCTCTGCAAGGTGCTCATATACCTTGATGTAACCATCCACAGTGTCTGCCACCACAAGCTGGCCCTGGGGTGCACAGGCCACACCAGAGGGCTGCCGTAGGCCTTCGGACACCAAGCAGATGGATGCTCCCATCCAGGGGAACATTGTCACCTGACGATACTGCTCATCACACACGATGACATTGCCTTCTGAGTCGGTGCACACACCAGTGGGGCAGCCAAAGGAATGTCCCGTCTGGCCCCCCAGAGAGCCAAGGGGCTGATGGCTGCTACCAAACAGCTGAACATCTCCACACTCCTCGCTCACAGCCAGGCCTCCATCTGGCCGCGGGCCCACCCAGCAAGGGCCCTGAAGGCCCAGCACTGAAGTGGGGGCCAGGGCCTCGAGGGCAGGGCCCAGAGTGAAGTTGTGCACAGCATTGGCCACATAGTCTGTCACTAAGAGTCTGCCAAAGACATCTACAGCCAGCCCTCGAGGAGACTGGAAGGAGCCCACAGTCACCCAGTGGCCCTGAGGGGCTTGGGCTGTATGCTGGAGTGCACGGACAGCCCCATGGACCAGGTCGCTGACCACCACGAGCCCAGAGGCTGTCACAGCCACATCCTCTGGCACAAAGTCTCCGGAGCCTGGTACATGGCAGGGTAGGCTGCAGACAGCTCGGCCCTCCAGGTCCAGAACATGGACACAGGGAGAGGCCCCTGCTGTCAGGAAGAGCAGGCCATCTGGGGAGCAGTGCAGACCCCGGGGGCCCCCTGCGGCCCGCTCAGGCCCCCGAATCCGCCCCAGCAGCCGACACTGCCTTGTGAGAGTGGGACCCATAGGCTGATCCATTCCAGAAGCAGCTGACCAGGATGTGGGTGGCAGCAAGTCAAGAGGCAGGCAGCCCTGGGATCAGGGTGTGGGTGGCCCCGACAGTCAGGAAACACGTAACAGACTCACATCTTCTCAGAGCTGGTTGGCGACTGGCAGGGGCTGCAAGTTGGAGTCAAACTTTTACTGTGGACCCAGCCCTGTCGCCCAAAAGCCCTCTCAGTCAGTGCTCCCCAGGGAGCTGGTGTCCTCCCATCTGCCAGATACCAGAGCTGAACTGCAGTTCTGCCAGATCAGAAGTCCCTCCCTGTTCTTCAGCCCAGGAGTCTCTATGCCTACAGACCCCATTTCCCAGATGTGATCCCCAGAACAGGGTATAGGGAGCATTTAGTGGGGGCAGGGTTGTGGGTTCTGTCTCTGGGTACCAAGACTTCCAAGTGTCCTGGGTTGGGGTGATAAGGCATGTATCTCAAACTTATCTGCCCATGGAACCCTTCCTCATGCACAGTCAATGGCCTTTCATAGGAGGTGGCCCAGCCCCTGCCCACTGGCCTGCACAGCCCCTGTGGACAGCACCACTGAGGCACCTCCAAAGGGATCCTGACTGGAGGAGTTGGGAGTTCCTACCTGGGCCAGCTCCCCAGACCTGCCCGGCTCAGGCTCCATCCCCATCTGTCCTGTCTCTGGGGCCTGTGTTGTTGGAAACGAGAGGGAGGGGAGGAGCCACCCAGCATGTTCCCACAGGGACAGGGACACGTGGGGCGTGGGACTCACACAAAGTAAGGCACCCTCAGGGACACTTCTGAGCAGCTGTGAAACTTGTCTGAGGACAAGGTAACTTGTGTCACTAGGATGCTTGACCCTGGCCCTAGCCCTGTGCTGCACCATTGGGCTGGCAGCCTCTTTCATAGCCCCCACAGCTGGACTCCAAGTGTCTCATTCAGCTCCCTATAGGAAGTTTAAAGTCAAAAGTTCCAGTCCCCCCATACTCTCAGGGAAGCCTAGGCCAGGGGAGGGTTAGGCCTGACCTCACCGTGTCACAGGAGGGGTGATGGGGTGCTGAATCTGCTCCTGCAAGGTTGAGCAGTCCGCTTATCTACTTGTCTGCCCAATGGAGGCACTGACCTTGAGTTGAGGCAATACTGGGGAGCAGTAGACACATGGGGGTTCGTACTCATGCCTTGCTCTGTCTGTATCTCCTGCAAATCATCCATAGGGAGGCGGAGTGGCCTGGTGAATGCACGCCTACTGCTGCCCGTCACCCTCTGCCTGGCCGCCCAGCACCCCAGCTTGCATGCCTCCAAGTAGAGGCAGGCAAGATGCTATCGCAGTTAATGGGGCGATCACAGTCCTGCGAGGACTGGCCCCAGCCCGGCCAGCCCAGCACCAGCACCAGTGCCAGCTCAGGAGCAGGAGAGAGCCTCAGGCAGTGCTAGGTGGGTGGGCTCTGTGGGTGCGGTCGAGCTCCCCAGGGACAGGGTGATCAACTATGCCCCAGGGTCTCTGGGTGCAGCCCTGTCCCCACCCCCAGCTTGTAGGAATGGCTCGGCTGGAGGCAGCCAGCTGTGAAGGCCACCAGTGCCCACGGCTGTAGGGTTGGCAGGGGCCCAGTTCTGCCACGTGGGGTACAGCAGCCAAGGCCGCATGGTGGGAGGCACTGCTTTGTAATAATGGGGGCCACTGGCAGGAGGTGGGTTTCAGGGACCTGTACCTCCAGCTGCGAAGCCTGGAGGTACCTCCACCATCGAGACCAATTCAGCTGTCCCAGCCTATCCCCACCAGCCCTCTCGTGTGACTCCTTCAGTATAAGTGGCTGTCCGCTGAAGCTCAGGCATACCCCTAATCCCCTTGGGAAGTGGCCAGGAACCATCTCACCAGCAGCACTGCCTACCTGAGACACTACCTGCCCAGGGACACAGGCTCTAAGGGGAGCATAGCCTCTGGGAGCATATCCCAAGACCCCACAGCTTGGGAATCATGACTACCTGGGGACACTGAACCTGGGAACACTGACAGGTAGGACACCATTTGCCCAGTGACATAGGGTGACATCTGGGTACCATGTCAGCCTGGGTGGGACCTTGTCCACCTGGGAACACCACTTAAAAGAGAACACTGCCATGTAGCATACTGTCCACATAGGCGACAAAGGGACACTGTCCACTCAGGGACACAAGTGCTTGGGGAACAACCCAACAGAGGTCACAGCTACTAGAGAAACCTTAGGATCCCACCACCAGGGGACCTTGCCCACTTGGAGCACACCACTACTTAGCTCACTGTGCGCCCCAGGGCCACAGCTGCTGGGGGGATGCCTGGAGACCCACCCTGAAGGAAGAAGAGAAAAAGGTATGTGAAGTCATTTCTATTTCCACATCCAGAACAGTGATCAATAAATAACCAGCCCCCAGTGTCACTGTGATGCCCCACAGAATAGCCGTGGTACATGCTGGGTCCAAACAGGTCTCCATAGGGGGTAGGGGCAGGACTTGGGGCACAGGAAAGCCCTCTGAGGGCAAAGGAAGTCTTGGGTGGGGTCAGACCTCAGAGCCCCGGGAGACCTGCAGGACAGCTTCAGGGGTTCGGGAGCTCCCTGGTGCCCCATAGGTAGCCCAGCCACCACCAGGGGTGCTGTCTTCAGGGGCTGGCAGTGAGTGACTTGGAGGTGGGACACTGGAGTCAGCCTCACACTTGGTGGTATGCCCAGAGAAAGGCTCACTGGGGGTCACAGGGCCCAGTGTGCCAGCCGGGTCAGGGGTCCCTTGGTGAGGCTCAGAGCCCAGCTTAGGTGACCCCCAGGCCCTCACTGACGGCTCCAGCCCCTTGGTGGGACCCCGCTTTACAGACAGGTCAAGGGGCACCTCAGGGGGACGCACAGCACGTTCCAGAGCACGGTGGATGTGCAGCAGCTCCTGGCGAATCTTGCCCAGCTGCTCACGAAGAGGGCGAGGGGCCAGCCCCCCTGAGGGTGCCAGCTGTCCCAGACGCTGCTCCACTCGGGCGTAGTCACCCAAAGCCCTGGTCAGGTCCTCACCCACATGAGCCGGACTGCTGGGTCCCAGGCTGGGCAGTGGCTGGACAAGGGTGGCTGAGGAGCCCAGGGTTTCTCTGTCAGAAGGCTCCTTATTCTCGCTCCAGAGCATTGCTGGGGGGCCGCTCGGCAGGCTGGGGGGTGAGGATCTGGTCAGCAGGTCGCCTCAGCCCCTGCTTCACTCCCTAAACTGGACCAGCCACCAGGAAGCCCCCTTGTCCAATCTGCCACCCACTCCTCAGGAAAGGAGGGTAAGACCTTGGCCTGGTGGGCTACCTCCTCAGTCTCAGTTCCCCCTTTGTGGCTTAGCCCTGCCCCTAACAACACATACCTGTTCTGGTAACCAAATTTGGCTGAGCTTGGAACCTTCTGGAACTCCAGCTGACTTCCCTGGGGCAGCTTCCTCTTGGGGTTGTCCTCTGCAGTCTGCTTGGTTTCTCTCTCCTGCCCTGGATCCCTGAGGGGCCAGGGGCCCCCAGGGCCTGTGAGAGGTACCTTCAGCAGCCCAGAGGCCAGAGTCCCAGCGGGAGTCTTAGGGGGCGCAGGGGCAGCTTTGCCTGCTGGCAGCCCCAAGCTATGCTCCAGGAGCAATGGGTAGTAGAGGCGGGGTGCCAGGGTCGGGCGCTCGGGGGCCTGTGGGGCCGCAAAAGCAGGGGCCTGGGGCAGCAAGGGGCCAGCCTGGGCTAGGAAGGGCATATGGGTGGCCAGTGAAGGCCCCAGGTAGGAGAAAAGGCCCGGGCTGAGCGGGTAGTTGACACCCAGCAGGGACAGCTGGAGGCTTTGAGCCTCAGGAAATTCACCCAGGGTGGGTGGCGGGTAGCAGGGAACACTGCCCTCTGGGCCCGAGGAGGCGGCTGCGTCCCCCACAGTCGGGCCCCCGCCCTGCCCCGGTTTCCAGGACCTGCCCAGAAGCCCCACGGGGCCTGGACCCTTCCTGGAGGCCCTGGTGCTGGGGGACTGCGTGGCCACGATGCCCTCGGCCCCCGGCTTGGGGCCCCCAGGGCAGTGGCGTAGGGAGACGCGCTCGCAGCCGCCGCGCTCGAGGGCGGTGGGGGCGTCGAGGTCCCCCTGGCGGTCGGGGCTGGGCGCGCGCGGCCGCGGCGGCAGCGGGGTGCGGCGGCAGGCCCAGTCTGGGGAGTCGAGCAGGAGGGAGAGCGAGTCCTTGCAGAGGCTGTACTTCATGTGGTTGTACAGATGAGACTTCTCCAGGCAGGTGAAGGGGCACTGGAAGCACTTGTAGTTGTAGGGCTTGCCCCACGGGCGCGGGATGTAGTGCGGCTTCTTGGGTCTCCGAGCGCGCGCCCCAGAGCCCCCGCGGCACGCGCCCGCCTCCCGGGACATGGCTCCTGCTAGTGAGCCGGGCTGGCCACCATGGCCACCTGCGAACGAGGGCTGTGGTCAGTGCCCACCACCTCTGACTCGCTCTCTCAACTCTCACCCAGTTCCCGGGCATGTGATTCACCATCTCGGAGTCCCCCAGACGCCCCCTCCACACACACCTGGGTAGCCCAGTGAGGAGGTACAAGCACAAGGAAGCACTCTACACTTGCCTTTCACTGCGGCTCAATGGCACGACTGTGACCCTGCCCTTGGTGGTGCAGTGGTTATTTAACCACAATGTCCACCTTTACCAGCCTTTCCGTGGGAGGAAGATGGGACAGTGTGGTTTGGTAAAGAGTTCAGCTTTGGGAACCCTATGGGGCAGGTCTCCTCTGTCCCACAGGGTCGGTCGTTGAGAGTCAGAATCAACTGGACCTCAGGGTGCAGGTGGCCCAGGCTGCCGCTGGAGGTCTGTTTCTGAGCTGACTCAATGCATACCCTGAGGCTGCCAGCTTTAGGCTCCCACCAGCCATTGGAGGATCTGTGTGGCCAAAGCTTGTGGCCTAAAAGGAGCCCTGAAAGCCCTGCCCTCACTGAGCACCCCTTCTCCAACTGGGAATGATGAGAGAGAAAAGAGAGGAGGGGCAGCTATGGCTGTGTGCATGTGTGGGTGTGCAATCAATGCAATGTGGTGTGTGTATGTGTGTAAGAATGTGCACATCAGGTGGGTGTATGTGTGTTTGTGTGTTTATATGTGTGCATTTGATGTGTGTATGAACATGCACATGTGTAGGGAGTGTCTGTATGTATGTACATGACCATGTGTATATTTACATGTATGTACATGCGTTTGACAGATGTGTGAGCATATACATCGTGTGTGGAGTATATGTGTTGTGTCCTCATTTGTTTGTGTGTGCATTCCATGTGTGCAATGTGTAGGGAATGTATGTGGGCATGTGTTGTATACGTGCATTCCGTGTGTGTGTGTGTGTGTGTGTGTGTAAGTACAGAGATCACTGGTCCAGCATTGCAGTGGGTGGACACTAGGGGCTCAGAGGTGAGGCCATGCATGGGCTAGGCCAGGCTGGGGGGAGTGGGTGTCACAGCCTGCCCCCATGCATGGCCACCTGCTCAGCCCGGCTCCATCTGGGTGGCTCCAGGCAGGTCAGCGGCCGAGTCCTGCAGCGGACGCACTCAGCCAAGCCCCTCCTCCCCTGCCTGCCTACCCGTGCTCGAAGCCGACTCCACACTCCATCTGGGCCACCACCTGGGCCACCCTCCTGCCCCATGTAAGCAGCGCAGCGCAGAGCATGTGTGTGAGGCGTTGTTGCCTGCACACAGGGGTACAAGGCTCTTGCACACTGAGCTGGCTCAGAACAGCCCCCAAATGGGGGAAGCCAGAACACAGAGGGGAACATATCCACATGCTCACACCCCAACAGTGTACATGGGTGAGTGGTTGCACATACACACACACCCGGGCTGACATAGTCACATACATATCACATGTGTGCACACACAGAGAGACATGCACAGATTTAGACACACACATATCCAAGGACTCACACACATAGTGGCCTAGAGACACACATGAACTCATACATGGTCCAGACACACACCCAAGGATACATGACACACACACAAGGCCACATATATGCCCCAGGAAACACCCCCTCCTGAAATGTCCCTAGGAGCCCCACTTCCTCCCACCCTGCTCCAGGACCAGGGGCATCAGAGGTTGGGTCAAGCTGGTGAGCCCTGCAGGGAAGCCTCTGTGAGCACACCAGGGGCTGGAGGTCAGGGTGGCCAGGCCAGGCTAGCTGGCCGGGTCTATGGGGGTCCAGACCCTGAAGTGGTGTGGGTTGAAGCTGGGCTGCAAGGAAGTGTTGGGGGCTTTCAGGGGGCTGGGCTGTGAATCCAGCCTTGGGGTGGGATGGGTGGGGACTAGCTTCCTTACTCCTTGTCCCCCGCGTGCCCCCCCAAGATGGGATGACAAATGGGTGTGTGAGCTTCGGAGCCAGCGACGGCTCTGCTGGGACCATCCATCACACAGTCCTGGGAGCCACACAGCTGTGCAGCCTGGCGCTGCGGGTCTGCTCCCGCCGGGCCCTGGACCCGCGGGGGTGGGGCTCCTCCCGGGGCCTGGACTCATGCTTGGGGGGGGGTACTCCAGGGCTGGCAGCAGGTGGAACCTACAGCTTGCCCTTGGAGCAGGTACGGGGGAGGCACCTCACAATCACCATTTCAGAAGCTGCTGACCCTGGGGACCCAGAAGACGCTGTGCACCCACCCCCAACCCCCACCACATGAGCACAGAGCCAGGGACTCCAGAAGTCCACTGGCCTGTGCGCACACACTGGGGCGTGAGAGGCGCTCCCAGGCAGCCCTGTAAACCGTCCAAACAGACCCTTCCCTGTTCCGTGGCGCCTCAACCCCTAGATGCAGCGAATCCCGCCTGGTCCGTCCCTGTTAGCCCCTAGGACTCGGGGAGCCCCCACATGGGGTGGAGTCGGGCCAGGGGGGACCCCCACCCCGTCTCCATCTCCACCTTCGTCACCTTGCCTGCCGGCGCGCCTCCAAGGACGTCGCTCCGACTCGGATGGTGCAGCTGAGGAAAGTGCAGGCGCCGGGACGCGAGAGAGGCCGCCGGGAGTGGGGTGCGGGGTGCCCCGCCGCCCGACCCGCCCTCGTCCCCGCCCGCAGTGGCGCCTAAAACTTCGCAGACTCCCCTGTGTCTGTCCGGCTGCAGAGCCAGGGCGCCCAAGGTCTGCGATTGGGGGGCAGCGGGAGTGCATCGGTCCCCACGCATCCCCTCCTTCCGCCAACTGCCTCCACCCCAGACCGCAGACCCTCTTGGCTCAACCTCTGCGCAGGAATAGGACCCCACAAGGGAAACTGAGGCCCGGCGCTGGGGCCGAAACCCCGCAGGCCTGCGGTCACTCACGCGGCTGCAGCCCAGGAAGCTTCGCCGCCAGCTGGTGCCCCGACGCCGGCTCGCGCCCACCGAAGTTGGCAGCAGAAGCGGCCGCGCGTGCGCCTGGGCGCCGGCTGCGGGGAGGGGGCGACGTCCGACGGGAGGGGCGGGGGCGGGCACCCCTCTCCGCGCACCCCGCCGCCCTGGCGGGCGCTGCCTGGCCAGGCTCCCGGCTGAGCGAGTCTGGAGCGGAGCGCAGGTGTGTGGCCGAGCGGGGCGCCACGCCGCCTCCACCCCCGTCGCCTGCAGGCTGCCGCGGGGGTGCGCAGAAGCGCGGGTCTCCCGGGTCCCCGTGCGGTGACGGGGTGTCAGCAGCGGGCAGCGGGAGAGGGGCCGTCAGCAGGCATCCGTCAGGTCGCCCAGCCCCTGACAGCCGCCCGCTCGGGACCAGGGCCTGGGGGCTGAGCCTGGGGACAGGGGAGGGGCCGCAGGGGCCAGAGCCAGCCTGCGAGGGCACCGGCCAGTGGAATCCAGCTTCGGGGGATCCGCCCAGGAGACCCAGCCTGTTCCTCTCTCCACTCTCCTCCCTAGAACGGCCCTTTCTGCCTGCACCTCAAGATGAGGCTGATGGGACCGCTGGCCTACGCCCCCAGCCCCATGCCGGCCCCCAGCCCCATGCCGGCCCCCAGCCCCATGCAGGCCCCCAGCGCAGATGGTGATCTTCCCCTTCAGGAAGCATCGCCTCACCCTTGGTCTCTGCCTGAGTGGTGGCCACCTGTAGCTCAGACCTGCTGTGACCCTCAGGACTATCCCACCCCCTGGAAGGGCCTCAAGGTGTTTGCAGAGGTCCAGAAGGGACCTGGAGGTGCTGACACATCGTGGACCACCCTTCGGTGACCTTGCATCCTGAAGTGCGGGTCCTTGCATGCCAGAGTGTCCCAGTCTGCCTGGATCTAGCTCCTACGGGCCAGCTTCTAGGTGTGGTGCCTGTCCGGCAGCTCTGTCTGGTGTGGTGACTGAGGCGAGCTGGCCTTCGATTCCCCCCAGGGACCCAGCATTTGTCCAGGAGGAGGACGTGTGTGTAACACAACACTCCACTGAGGGCTTGCTGGAATGACCCCTCACTCGGGTTGGGGGCAAGGATACCTTGGGAGGAGGACCTGGGAGGACCTCTTGGACAGGGTCCTCAGAATAAGAATCCAGCATGTCCTCAGCCTTGAGGGCCTGGCTTCTGTTTCTGTGCAATGACTCACAAGCTTGTCGTAGACCCACCCCACCCTCTGGGGTGCTGGCCATCATGCTTGAGAGTATGAAAGGTGCCAGGCTGGGAGTCTGGAGGGCAGCTATGCTTGGTGACATCAATGTGAAGGCCAAGTGCCCTCTTGGCCCTGTTGGGTGGCCACCCCTCCCCATCCGTGGTGTGTTTGTCTTGTGTCTCTGGGCTTGGGCTCTGGAGAGGCCCTGGGCAGCTCAGGATCCAGCCTCCTCTGCTCTATCACCTGGCCTGGCCCAGTTGACTAGCTGACCATGCAGGTGACTCCAGGCTGGGGACAGCTAGAGTGTCCTTGCCAGCAATCCTGCAAAGTGTGAGGGTTGCATGGCCAGTTCCTCCTACACTTGGACCCCTCAGTGAACAGTCAGGCTTGAACCTTTGCCGTGGTGATGTCTAGAGAACCCGAGGCTGACACCGCAAAGGAGCTTAGACAGGCGTGACTGGCAGGACGTGGGATGGAGAGGCTGGTGATATAAGACCAAACTGGCTCAAGTGACCTTGGAGCCCCAGAGAAGGGAAGCTAGGGCACTCCAGTGTTGAGAGGCTCAGGAATGCACTTGGGGGTGGTATGGGGGGGTACATGACTAGCACCCAGGAGGGGCTGGTGGAGTAGCCTCGTGAGTGGGATGGAGTCCTTGAGAGCCTGGGGCATAGGCCAGGCCAGGCCCAGTGGCACGCCAGCACATCTGCTTTTACAGCTGGCATGCATGGTGCCTGGGGTCCCGTCCTACTTTCCTGCCATTGAGGGCCTCAGGGTGCTCATCTGCCAGGGTGCTCCTGGGGGTTATTCCTGACCTTGTGTGTATGGGGGTGCCCGGCTGAGTAGGGATTGGGACCTCGATGGCCGTGAGTCCATGGACCCCTGCTTAGCCTCAGCTTCGCTCCCCTCTGGCAGGGTGATGGCTGGAATTAGAGTATCTGGATGCTTCCACTCAGTCAGGGTTCTGGATGACCGTCTGGCTTTGCTTTCTCCCACAGCCAGCGTCTGGATGGAGGATCCTGAGGCCTTACCCTCCGCCTCTGGCCATAGGACCTCATCTCTGTCTTCTCTGCTCATAGCTGCCCACCTGTCACCTCAGTTAACACTGGGCCTATGAGTGTGCAGGGGAAAGGGAAAAGATGAGAGGCAGGGCAGGAGGTGGGGGGCAAAAAGGCTCTGAAGTGACCAGGGTCTGCAGTGCCTGGGGGCAGGACTGTCCCATCCCCTCAGTGTCTCCCACTGCCAGCAGTAGGAGAGCCGGGCCTGGCTGGACAGAGAGGTGGGGTTGGCTGTGAGCATGTGACTTTGTTGGTTCATATCCCCAAGTCCACCCATGCGTCTCCCCATTTCAAGTGTGGAGACCCCCCCTAGTCCTTGTGTACTGAATGCTGTTCCTTCTTGTCCTACAGAGACCTCTGGAACCTAGCCTGACTGCACAGGATCTGAGTACTGGTGACACTGTCACCAGGAGGGCTGCGGGCCGAAAGCAGACTAGGAGGCAGGGTCCCATGGCTGTCAGGTTGTTCCCACTCATGGATTTCCACCATTGAGTTTCCAAGATTGTAAATCTTTATGGGAAGAGACCGGGCATGTTGATTTCTTGGAATTGTTGGTGGATTCTAACCACTGATCCTTGGCTTAGCAGCCCAACATGGATCTCACTATGCTACCAGGGCTCTTCTAATAGCAGGAGCGACTCTCAGTCCCAGCACTACAGGCCCCTCACTCTCCATTCCCAGAACAAGAATTGCTGGGGAGTTATACTAACTCCAGGAAGCCTGCTGTCCTCCACCTTGCCATCCTTGCCACATCCCCACACACGTCTTGTCCTGCTAAGAGAAGTTACCTGACCCTCACGTCCCCCTGCACCCTTGCTGCAGTTCTGCCTCTTGAGTCATCACCCCTTAAAGTGGAAGAGGCTGAGCAGGAGTGAGTTCGGCGTTTAGGGAGGCATGCGAGCCAGGGCAGGTGCCTCTTGAGTCACATGGGCTCTGGGGAGTTGGGCGGGTGGGGCGAGAGGCTCTGGCTGCCCGCCCACCCGTCTGCCCCAGGCCGACAGCCACCATATGCTCCAGAAGAGGATCGGCGCTGCGTCCTGTGGCCTGGGGGCCGCCTCCCTGGCCTGTCATAGGAGATTTTTCCTGCCTGAGTGGCAGGCGGCGGGCGGGGGCGTGGGGATCAGAACCTCCTCCCAGCCCTGACCCCAGCACCCCCATCATTGCAGGACCGGGTGTGGAGCTGGCTCAGAGTTCCCCCCACATGGTGGCTGTCCTGGCTGGGTACTCTGTGAGGAGGCTGTGGTGGGTACCAGGGGCCCAGGCGGGGTGGGAGTGTGGCCAAACGCCCAGAGCTGTGCAGGGGGCAGGCTGCACGGCCGCGGCTAATGTGTACGCTAACTGCTTCTGACAGGGCCACTCACAGGGAGGCCTCCTCAGCGCCCGCCTGCCCCGGAAGGCCACGCCAGCCACCACGCCACAAAGTGGGCGATGAGGGTGCTAGGGTGAGGCTGGGACAGGGGCCAGTGGTGATGGGGAGAGAGGCCAGGACCGGCTCCGGATGGAGCAGAGTGAATAATAGGGATGGGTCACAGGGTAATGGGGAGACTGAGAGGATAGTGGGGAAGATCCTGACACTAAAGCTGCATATCTAGCTCCTACTTTGGTGACTTGCCCACCTTGGGAGGGGGGGGGCAGTGGCTATGACCTCTAGCTCATGCTGGGTCACCATATTGCTCTGCCCAGCCACCAAGGACCCAGCACCCCCTGCACATTCAGGCCCCCAGGGGAGATACGTCTCATCCCCTAGCTCCTTTAGACCCTGACCCAGGTCTCCTCACATCCCACCCTGGGCCTGTCTGGGGGTCTCAGCAGGATAGGGTCCTTGGTGCATGCTATGCAGTGCTGGCGGGCGGCTGAGCGGCCGTGAGATGTGTTGTGGCAGCTCCCCCGCTGCCCGAGGCCCGCCTGGAGCAAACACTGCTGGTGGCTTTAATTGCTCTCACATTCGATCTCGCGCCCTGTGACAGCCTCTTACAGAGGCCCCCACCTGGTGGGGCCAAGCTTGCACCCAGACTGTGGGGCCCTGGATGGGGGCACCTGTGACTTGGGGGCTGCATGGGGGCTCCTGAGATCGGGACTGGCTCCCAACAGCTTCCTGCCCCTTCTACACCCTGATTGAATGTTGTAACTCAGAAGAGGCAACATCTGGGGCCACCCCTGACCAGCTGATGGGGTGCCTCCCTCCCCCCCTCCCCCCAGTCCTAGGTCTGGCTGTGTATACAAACACACACCACTGTGCTGGGACAGACCATCATTCCTAGTCCTAGAGGGGCAGCAAAGAGGGAGAGACCACTGTTACAAAACAAAACCTTTTATTTGGTCCATTGGAGCCTGAGTCTGGACCCCGCCCATGGGGAAGGGGACCCCTGGGACGGGCTGACGGTTGATAAAATAGTTTGTGTGTTGGAAGAGCTGCTGTATTTACAGAGTTAAAAATATTCACAGCTCAGAGAAAAGGGGAGGTACAAAGGAGGCCCGAGGGGGTGTGTCCCGAGGGGGGTGCGCTCGCTGCTTCTGCTAAGGCCCCAGCCCCAGGACAGGCCCTGGGCAGCGGGGGCCCTGAGGGTGGCGGGGGGGCGGGGGGGGAGATAGGTCCGCCTGTGTGTGCCTGGGCCCCAAGACCCTGTCTGCCGGCGGAGGCTGCCTTGCCACACAAGGCCCAGCCCTGCTGCCCTTCATGGCTTCGGTCCTGGGGGCCAGGAATTGCATAGTGTCGCTGGAGGGGGACAGGAGAAGATCTCCCCAGCAGCAGCCTCCTAGGACAGGCCACCCCAGCCCACTGCTGATACCAGGGGGGCAGGAGGTTGCGCCTTAGCAGCCCCTGCTATCACTGAGATGCTGGGCCTTGGATCCCAGTGGGAGACTGGGTCCTGGGGTCTGGGCTGACCATGACCCCCCAAAACTCCCCCCAAGCTGGCTCCTGAACCTGCATTCCAAGTCCCGAGGCCATGACCAGAGGGGAAGGTTGGCCTGTGGCTGGTGGCTGGCTCGAGGTATTTGCTTGGCAGCCAGGAGGCCCTGGCCCTGCTGACTGGCCCCAGGGTGAAGGCGGTTAGGGGTGGGGAGGGCCCCCGACTCCCCAGGGGTCCTGAGATTGGTCCCGGCATCCTCAGCCTGGGCCTCCCTCCTAAAGTGCGTGCAGGTGGGCGGGCCGAGGGGTCAGAGTGGCCGAGGCCCATGCAGTCCAGCGACCTCGGGTGTGAGTGGGGGGCTGTGGGTGCCTTTGGTGGCTGTCCAGTCACTGAGGAAGGCCTGGGCTGCTTTGCGGTGGGCGAGTCGGTGTGTGATGGAGAAGCCAGCGTTTCCTTCCAGCTGGGACAGGATCACCAGGACCTGCCTGGGGGAGAGGGCCAAAGACTGGCTGAGGAGCCAGACAGGGTTGCTGGCAGTACAAGAGTGCATGAGAGGGTGTGTCTGAAGGCATGTTTGTGTGTGCACAAGCAGGTCCAGTACGGGGGTGTGTGTGTGTGTATGTGCACGTGCAGGCCCAGCTGTACAGGTGTGTGTGTGTGTGGAGGGGTATGTGCACGGGCAGGCCCAACTATACAAGTGGGGCAGGGTGTTTGAGTGTGTGTACATGCAGGCTTAGCTGTGCAGGTGTGTTGGGGGTGTGTGTGTGCAGACCCACCTGTGAGGAAGTTGTGTGGGATGTGTGCAAACATGTCTGTGCATGGGCGAGTCCCCCTCTGCATATGTGTGAGTGTGGATGTGTGTCTGGATCTGGGTGGGCAGGCTCCTTGTGTAGAGGTGGCACGTACGTGTGCTTGAACACATTTCTGTGTGCGCGTGGACATGTGCCCATCTGTCAGAGTGAGTGGGCCTACTTGTGCAGCAGCAGCGTCTGTGTACAAGTCTGTCTACACACGCGTGTACATCTGTCCATCTGTGCGTGGAAATGTGCCCATCTGTCGCCGCGGGTGGGCCCACCTGTGCAGGGGTGGCACGCTATCCTGTGTGCGCAGGCTGCCGCGCGTGGACACCACGTTGAAGCTGTCGGTGCAGTCACACTGCACATGCAGGTAGGACTTGGGGTGCCGATTCTCCACCACCACGATGAGGCCCGCCCAGCCGTGGGTCAGGTAGTAGCAGGTCATGCCCTCTCGGCCCTGGTAAGGTGGCAGATATGAATGGGGGGATGAAGTGGCCCACAGACAGGGTGCTTTGCCTCCTCAGGGCTATGTCCCTACCTCGTGACGCTCACCGCGGCTCTCAGTCAGCAGGATGATGGCGTCGGCCAGTGTGGTAGGCTGGGCTTCCACCGGCTCCACCATCACCAGCCTTGAGCTGTAGACAGCCAGCACATGGCCAGGTGGCTCTGGGGTGCAGCGTGGACTCCCTGTTGATGGGCTGGGGGCTGCAAGGTGAGCATCAATGGCATTAGGGGGTGCCGGATGCCTGGTGTACACCCTACACAAAAGTCTGCCTGCCGTGCCCAGGCTTCCCTACTACCCTGTGAGGCCGTGGGGTTGGTAGCCCAGTGGTTGAAGGCACAGCACACCACGGCATACTCTCCCGGCTCCAGCATGACGTCACAGTTGACAAACTTCTTGACCGCCCGCTTGCTGTGGGCCAAAAGGCGGCCCAGGCTCAGGCGGCCACCGTTGCCAAAGGTGGCCCGGAACACCAAGATGCACAGGTCCAGCAAGTGGCTGTCCCCCGCATCTGAGCGCCTGTAGTGAAGGACTCAGGTTAGGGTGGCTCATGGTGACCCCACCACAGCCCACCCATCCTTTCTGCCTGCCCCACCTGCTTCCCTCCTGAAAGAGGGCAAAGTCCAGCGAGGCTCGCTCCAGCACAGTTAACGCAGTGACACCCACAGGTCCGCTGGCTGAGCGCGGGAAACAGCCTTGCACCCGCACCTCCTGCCAGTCCGAGCGTGCCTTGCAGATGTCCACTGAGTCAAAGTACCTGCCCGGAAGGATGGACAGTGGCCTTATGTGCTCCAGGCCACCTGCACATGTGTGGGGCTCTCTTGTCATCCCTCTACCCCAGACTTTGTAAGGCCATTGGGTATGGCATCTGACCAGTACATGGCCTAGCTTTGCAGCTCAAGACCGGGAGTGGCCGGCTGGCCTTGGGGTCCCTACTGCTCTGGGTCCTTGGGTGATGCAGCTGTTTCTTAGACATAACCTCTGCCTCGTCTCCCACCCCTGGTAGATCCAACAACCCCGCACCTGATGAAGTCACTGTACTCCATCCAGAAAACGCCCTCACCACTGCCCAGTGGAACCAACTCTCCACGCAAGTGCCCTGGCCAGTGGGGCCATTCGTCTGACCAGCTGCCATTCCAGGAGAAGCGGCCCCATGGGTTCCGGAGCCGCAGGAGCCTACGGACAAAGTACTGACGTGACAGTTGACCATGCCTTGCCCACCCCAGCTTCCTGGACCCTAGACATACCTGGAGCCCTGCACATCCCTGACGTCCAGGATGGAATAGGCGTGACGGGGGCGCAGGCCCAGGCTCTCATAGGCTGCGTCATCCACCTTCATGTTGCCCCCGCCGCAAGAGGCACCCATGAGGAACCTGTGGTGGAGTGATCGTGCTGACCCCTGGTCCCCGCAGACTTGATTCCCTGGGGGCAGCCCTCCCCAAATCACCTCTGCCTCCCCCCTGCACCTACTTTACCCTGCACCACCTCACCCTGCCTCCTTGGAGCTTAGCATCTTGGCCCAGATGAGGTCAGTGTCCACAGGCTCCTCTCTAGGATTGGTGGAGCTGACCTGCAGCAGGAGGCTCTCACAGGGCGCCCCTGTGAGGGTGGCCAGGCCCTCGATGGCCCGGCCTGCCTGCAACGCGAAGTAGGAGCCGTGCAACTTTGCCAGCGCCTTCTCGATGAGTGCCACCCAAAGCTGCTTCCGCTGGGCCTGTGGGGAGGTAGGAGTTAGAGGACTCGAGGCGTGGGTGCCCGGCCACCTGATCCCCACCCACCCCGCCCCACCCACCTGTGAGAAGAGCAGATAGCCGCCTTCGTCACAGGGCAGCATGTCGTCCACCAGCACTGTGGTCCATGTGCCATCCTTGCACAGCCGCACCTGGTAGGCACCCTCAGGACACAGGTCTCGGGTGACCATGACTCTTTCCACCAGGTCTGGACGCTCGGCCAGCACCGCCAGGGCACTGAGGAACCTGTGGAGGAGGCAGCTCAGGGGGCCTGTGGCCAGGCTGCACCCCACGCTGCTCCGTCCACCATCTTCCCCTTACCAGCAGTTCCCTAAGAGCCCTTGCAGGATGTCCGAGGGCCGCAGCCTGCAGAACACACTCCAGGGCACACTTGCAGGGTCCTTGAACACAGAGCAGTTGATCTCATGGGGCCGCAGCCACTGCCGCACACGCTGCTGGACACCGTCCCCCTCGGGGAAGCCCACGGATGAGGGCCCGGGCGGGAAGCTGTCGTCTACAAAGTTCACACCGTTCTGTGGGGACCAAAAGGGGTCAGGACTGGATGGGCTTGCTTGGCCAACCTATGACTCACAACCAGAGAGTTAGACTACTACTGGATCCCGTAGGATCCTGCTGACCTCAGCCTGTCCATGGCTGTGCAAACTGGCCTGGCCAGGACAAAGCCTGTGAGGGCCCAGGCCCCAGTAAGGCCCTAGTGGGAGAGTAGCAGCAATGCAGGTCTGGCTACAGAGGGTGGTGGCCAAAGGACACAGGTAGCATCTCCCAGGGGGACCCTACCGCCAGCACTCAGAAGGGCAGTCAGGAACTCACTCTTCCTAGCCTCTAGCTCCTGTGTGGAGATGACGTGGGGTGGGGACCCAGGCCAGAGGAGAGACCACTACTTACCCTACATGGCTTGGCACATCTGTCCCCCTCTTACTGCCCCTGCCCGCTCACCTTATCCCCCTCACCGCCATGCCGTTTCCATCTTGCCCACTCACCTCCCGGCAGAAGGCTACTATGTGCTCCCATAAGGCCTTGGCCTGGCCCTCATCGGTCAGACGCCGCTTCTCCACCAGCACGCTCTCCCGGCGTCGCAGGGTAGCAGCTCCATGGCGTGGGGCCTCGGGCAGCTGTGGCGTGTGGCAGGCGGCACAGTGTCGGGCGCGGGGTGTGTTGAGCAGGGTGCAGGCAGGGCAGGCCCACTGGGCTGGGCGCTCGGTGGGTGTGGGGGGCAGAAGGCGGATGGCCTTGCGAGCCGAGGGGGCTCGGCCACAGCTGCAGAGCCCTGGCCGGTCAGCACTGCAGTCAGGGCAGCGGCCAGGAGCCTCACCATGCTCCTGAAAGCCGTGCAGCTTGGAGCAGCCACAGACAGAGCAGCGGGCAGCTGCCGTGGGGTTGCGCAGTGTGCACTGGGCACATGACCAGGTGCTGAAGTCTGGGCTGGAGGGGCTGGCGGGTGTGAAGCGCACGGAGTCACCAGCCAAGTCGATGGTGTCACCTGGAGAGGGACCACAGCCCTCCCCAGGGACTGGGCTGCCCTCAGTTGCTTCCTCCAGCACACTCAACCGGGGGCCTGACAGCAGCTCCACCAGGCGGGGGGCACCAGACCCTGCCCGCCCCAGACACGGTGGTGCTTTTGGGCTAGGCAAAGGCTGGGCAGCCTCAGGCACTGGCGGCTGTGGCTGGGGGGGCACTTCCCGGCGGCTCCGGGGAACAGGGTTGTTCTGAAGAGGTGGTGAGAAGGGGCTGAAGGGGACGAGGTGTGGGGGCTCCTGGTCGACTGTGGTCACACCTTGGCCAGCTGGAACAGGGGTAGCCTCGGGGCCATCCCCAGGTAGGCTTGGTGGGGGTGGGGGAGGCCCAGTGTGGAAACCAGCAGGGGCCACAACCTCGGGTACTACCAGTGCCTCAGGTGGGATCCTGGGAAGGGAGAGTCTGCGGGGACCCCCGCAGGCAGAGCAGGAGCTGGCCACAGGGGTATTGTGCAGTGTGCAGCGTGGGCAAGCCCAGCCCCCTGGCTCTGTGGTCACCTCCTCGGTTCGTCCCCCCGCTGGCTCTGTGGTCTCCTGCCCCGCCGTCCTCATAGACCCTGCTTCCTCCTGGCAGCTGCCCCTAGGCTCGGCCAAAACAGCAGGAGGTGGTGGTAGGGCCCCATTGATGGTGGGGGCCAGAGGGGCCCCAGGTGCAGGGTCTGGGGTGAAGCCGCACACCTCGCAGGCCTCCTTGCCCAGAAAGTTCCGGAAGGTGCAGCGGGCGCAGGGCCATTTCTGCTCCTCTACGCTGAGCCTCAGGATCTGTTCGAGGTCAGGCTTCTGCCGGGGGGCCTCACAGATGGAGCACTGGCGCTGACCAGCTGGGTTCAGGAAGGTGCAGCGAGCACAGGACCACTCCCGGACAGTGGCCATAGACCCAGGCGAGTGTGTGTGGCTGTGGGAGACAGGGGACTGAGTCAGGGCTGGGCCCCTATCTTGGCTCCAAGGCCATTTATTTGGCTAGGAACCCAGAGTGGATGAATAAGACCGCTACCTGATCTGGGGTGTCCCCTGGGCTTCACAGCCCCCACCTTGAGACTAGACAACTCCAGATGGGGCTAAGGCTGCCTGGGGGACTATGCTCATTGCACACCCAGTACCTCCCAGGGCACTCCTACCCACTGTCCCTCCTGCAGACAAAAGGGTAGCCTATTGGGGAGCAAAGAGTGTATCATGGTGTGATGGCCACACCAATTTGACCCACAGTGGGGATGGGTGCACAGAGGGTCAGAGAACAGGCTCAGAGAGCAGCAGTGAGACCCCGCAAGCTGGGCCATACATGGCTGATGGGACCAAGGCCGCACACAGGTAAGGGTGGGAAGGTCCAGCACCGTATCTACGCCTCTGCCTTGGGGGCACTCTTGACCACTACCTACCTAGAGCCCTGGCCTAGGGCATGGTCTGAGGACCCTGGCTGGGGCTCCCAGAGGGCAGCAGGTGTTTGCTTAATCAGCATCCATGTGAGGGGGCTGCACTCCAGACAATGGCTTCCACACCAACCCCCCGCCCTGCCAGTGGGAAAAATCGATGGTGCTTTGTAGGAGAGTGAGGCTGCATGCTCACCACACATCTCAGCTCGAGTCTCTCGGCTCAGCAAGAAAAAGAACCTGACCTTTCAATCCACTACCAAACAAAAGACCCCCAAGTGGTCCTGGGCCTGAAGCTCTAGGGGCGGCCTTGTACTCAGAGCTGGGGATGGGGGGCTCTGAGACAGTGCAGAGGGCAAGCAGAGAATCAAAGCAGCCTTATCTCTAGAGATGAGGGGTTCGTAAAATGAAGGTGCGGGGCCTTTCAGCACCCAGGTAGGCAGCAGCATCTCCCGGAGCCCCTGGTTTGGCGACCTGATCACCAAAGAGCGGTCTCTCCACGGCGCCCAGCCCAGAGAGCTGCTGAGATCAGGCCAGGGCTGACCTCTCTTCTGAGTTCAAGAGACTCAGAAAGCAACCTTCCCTCTTTGTCCCCCTGAGTAAAGAACCAGAGTGTGGCGGGAGAAGGGGCAGAGTAGACCTATGCCCCCACACACACATGCATGGGCAAGTGCATGCACACAAATACACGTGTTCGCACCGACACCTGTGCTGATGGTCCTGGGAAGGCCCTCTCAGGCCCAGCCATCCACCATGCACATCCCATACTATGCATGTGGCACAGCCAGGAGCAGGGGACTGGGAGACCATTTCCAGTGGTGGATATGTCTGGAGGTAGGGGCAGCTGAGAGTGGGGGGGGTCCAGAGCAGCTCACTGGCCAGAAGGATCAGCTGGACTCGGACCTGTCATGTGTATGTATGTGTATATCCACACCTCTCACTGCCACACACACTCATATACCCACATCCTCTTCATTCATACCATGCCCCAGGTACAAACCACACATGTACCCTTGCCACTCCCAATGCCACCACCCATACACCCTCACATATATTCCTACACTGCTTCTTCAGATAACCCCCTTATCCACACTCACCCCTACATTATTTCTCCAGACTTATCACCTGTGTTCCCTGCCACCCCCATATACATCTACCTTCAGACTCCCCATTCACTGCCCCAAGCACTGCCTTCTGTATCCCCAGCAGTCCCGCCTGCCATGGTGTCCCTCTCACCAGGCCAGAGAGGACTCTAGAATGGAACAGTGGGGTACGGGGGTGGGTCTGGGGTGTGCAGGCAGCATGCAGCCAACAGGCTGGTGAGCTGAGGGCCACCCCAAGAAACATCCCCACTCTGAGCTGCTTAGATTGCTGCGAATATGTGGGACTCCGTTACAAAGAAAGGTCACTTTAAAGTGGTCTTTAAACAGTGGGCTCTGAGCTAGGCAACCTGAGGTCTTCCTTGAGCCCACAAACAAGACCTACCAGCTGGCAAGTGACAGGAGCCAGGCCATTAAACGGCATCCCCTGAGCATCTGAGTGCCGAGCGGTGCTCCACCCCACGTGACCCGTGAGCAAGGAGACACAGGTGAGCAGCAGTGCATGGAACAGGCACGGAGAAGACACCTGAATCAGTGGTTCTCAGGAAGATGCAGAAAGGGCCACAGGAGGTGTCATCTAACGTCATGAGGACAGCTAGCCTCAAACGGCCAGTCAGTCACAGGTCATGATGAGTATGAAGAGAAGTCCCTTGCACTGTGTGGGAACCTGGCGCAGGACCACAGAAAAGGCTGTCCATTTCTGAACATTGAAACAGACTCAAGGCGCCAGATTCAGCAATTCTGCAAACACCTGCTGAAGTGTCCACCATGGGTGCTGACGAAAGGACTGCAGGCCACCTCCATCATGAGATGTCACTTGGCCATAAAGAGAATTGAAGTTCTGACTTGTGCTGTCACACAGAAGAACCTCAGGAGTGGGAACTACTGGTCAGACATCACTTTATGGGACCAGCAGAATCTGGCCAGCAGCTACCTGGGGCTTGTGGTGAGGAGTGACCTGGAATGAACACTGGGGTCTTATGGGGTGTGGTGTGGGCTTAACACCTCCCCAGACTGGCTGAGCCCCAGTGACAGGGGAACTTTAAACAGCTGTGGAGTCTCCAGAAAATCGGCTAAGAGGTTCAAATAAGGTGGTCATAGGGTTCCATGTGGTCTGGGCCTTCACAGCACCAGGAGGAACACCAAGGTTGTCCCTGAGAAGCCTTCCCCCAAGAAAAGGAGAGCAAGGAGGACCAGTCTCAGTGGTATACCTGGAGGGAGCTGAGCGTGCAAAGGTCTGACTGATGCAGCCCTCGGCAGACACCCCCCATGCAGCGGGCAGGGAGAGGAAGTTGCCAGCAGGAGACCCACAGCCCCCAAATCCAGGGCTTCCAAACAATTTTGGAATCTTCTGTCATGGGCAGCGAGAACAAGGGCAGTGTGCATGCTGCAGAGCAACCAAATCTGACTGTGGAAAAAATAAGGCATCAGTGTTCTTCTCAAAGCTGATGGCCAGCTACAGTCCACTGAACATGTCAATTGCCACCTCTGATTGGGGCCCATATGGCTGCTTCCTATTACTGTCAGTAGGCACTGAGGAGGCAGATCTGACTCCCAGGGACCTCACGTCCAACAGAGCCAACCTTGCCCGGTGCTCTACCTCTGCTGTGCTTGAACCCACTGTTGCAGTCACCGTGTCAGCCCATCTCATCGAGGGTTATCGTCCTTTATGCTGACTCTCCACTAAGTCTGCTGTCCTTCCTTCTTCAGGGACTTCTTGATGACAGGCCTGAAGTATGAGAGCGGAGGTTTCTAAGGAGAATCTGGCTGCATGTCCTCCAGGACAGATCTGTTCATTCTGCCAGTCCACCATTCAATATTCTTTACCAACTCCATAGTTTGGTGTTTTTCTAAAAATTTATTTATTGTGCGTGTACCGTCAAATCAGATCTGACTGGTACAGGAGGGAAATTTTCCCTCCTTCTCCGGCAGAGCATCTTGTGGATTTGAACCACGCACCTCTGAGATTGCAGTACAGCTTCTTGCCACTAGGCCACCAGAGCTCCCCACCAACTCCATAGTTTAAAGCTATCGATTCTTCAACCTTCCTTGGTCCTTGTCTAACCACTACATGCATAAGGGACAACTGAAAATACCAGGGCAACTTGGCTCAGGTGCACTTTAGTCCTCAAAGTGACACTTAAGCTCCTTCGCACTTTTAAAAGGTTCTTATCAGCAGTTTATAATGTCATCAGATGTCCTGTCACTTCTGACTCAAAAGCATCTAGTAATACTTCAATGGGTACTGATTGTTGATCCAAGAAAAATAGAGCCTTGACACCTTCAATCTTTGTTTGTTTGTTTTTTTTTAATGTGTGTACCGTCAAATTGGATCTGACTGGTACAGGAGGCGATTGATTGTTCCTCCTTCTTCAGCAGAGCATCTGGTGGATTTGAACCGCACACCTCTGGGATTGCAGTGCCGTTTCCTGCCACTAGACCACCAGAGCTCGCCATGTTTTTCTGACATCTTCAATCCTTTCAGTTCGCCATGATTTGACACGTCTTCCTCTCATTCCAATGCCAGCTTCTCCTGTGGGGCTGGTTTTTTGGATTACTTGCTCAGCAAACAAACAGAATAAATTTCCTACTTGGGTCAAAACTTGCTAGAGATTTGGATTCTGTGGAAGGTGTATGTTGTCCTGGTTCCTGGCTATACCTGATCCTTTCTGAACCAGCTCAGTCTTGTGGAAACCCTGCAGGGAGATGGCTAGAGACCTCAGTGCAAGTGGCCTTCCCAGGCCAAAGGAGTGCTGTCTAAGCAGCTCTGAAGCAGCCAAGCGCCCACACCGTGTGCAAGCAGCTCCCCAGCCATGCAGGTGGGCCACATCCCCCAAGCCTGGCCCACCAAGCCCCTCCTGTGACTGGAGACCACCAAGTTGTTAGGTCAAGGTCATGGAGAGTCCTGATGAACAGGTGCCTGCTCTGCACCAGCACCCCCACGTTCTTACCTTCGGGCCCGGGGCCGCAAGGGCATGTGCTGTCGGGCAACCAGGGTGCCTCCCCAGACAGGTCCCCCAGGGCCGCTCCTGCACCAGCTGGCCGCTGGGGGCCCTGGGTAGGATGTCCCCCCAGGGAAGCCGTGGTCTGACTCGGTTTCTGTGGCCAGCGAGGAGGCGGAGCTCCCCATGGCCCCGCCTGCCGGTCACATCCGGCCGGTGTGAGGGGCTGCAGAGAGCGGAGGCCACGCCGGAGACGGGGGTGGTCTGGTCAGAGTGAAGAAGACAGTGACAGAAATAAACATACACACACAGAGAATGGAGAAAGAGAGAGACAGGTGTGACTCTTGTGAACAAGGCTGCAGAGCCAAGGGGTAGGGTCAGCATGGTGGGTGTGCTCAGTGGAACGGCCAGGGCACCTTCAGCCCACACATCAGACACCTGGCCCCTATGGGCAGGTATGACTG